ATAAAACTTCCAGTCCTTTCTTTACATACTGCAGCATCTATTTTCTCTGTATGCACCACATATATGATTGTATCTTAAGCAACAACCATGTTTTGAAACTATCAGTTTATGCACCATCAGGTTGCTACTTGCAGATTGCAGGTTGTGGAGAGGATGAGATTATTTTTTTCTAATGCAAACCCTATGGTTTTGACAGTTCTGCTAAAATTTCATTTCTTTACTGGCATTTTAATTCCTCATTATCCTAGTGAGTTTAATACTCTGATCTCTGTATATGAGTCAGAATTGTATCCAAGTCTAGTATGTTTCCAAGAAAGTGAGAAGAGGCAAAGGCTGGGCATCTCAGACTGAAAGAGATAAACTGCATTCCACAACACTGCTGTATCCCTGATCTGCAACGAAGTGAAATACTATAGTTTCAAGGGAGCTTTTAATTCAGATTTACAGTGGAGTTTGTTTCACAGCTCTGCCACCTACATGTTAATAACACCTTTTCTTTAAGCCCACTGTGTTCCATCAATCTTCACTATCTTCCAAGTTAAGGCTGCAATGAGTTTTACTTCAGTTCACTGCACTGCAAGTATTAACTCCTGGCAATAAACAGCACTTCATATTAATTTTGCATATGAAGTAAACACTTTACAATACTATAGGGTTGCCCTAAATATATAAAAGCCTCTGTATATTCTAAAAGAAAGAATCTAATGAGAATAATGCAGTAATTCAGGTTACAAGATAACTCATAGAATACTTAGGGAATTAGTAAGCCATCCATATCACTACCTCAAGATAACAAAGCTAGTCAAGCTCAGAGATGCTGGCAAACTGAGCCCCAAAGTGAAATGCAGTGATCCTGGGAGGTGCCATATATCCCCATAAAGAAAATAAGCAATGGCTGAGCTCTGGAGAAACAAAGAATTTACATAACAGGGGTGGTGTCCTGGGTAGAACAAACAAGGCAAAGAAATATTGGACCCTCAGGACTGAGCTGCCTACTGCAACAAGCAGGAGCAAACACTGTATTTATTACATTAGGTATGGATCTAGCTAAAAGGATCTGTTAGATTTTTGCCTGAATATGAATTTCCAAGCATACAGAATGAGCCATATGGATATGGCTCTTATTTCCAGACCTCTAGTCTTTACCTGGGAGAAAAAGAAAATGGACTGGTGTTCTGTTGTTAGCCTTCCCCTTTTCTATTAAAATTCATTTGGTACACTGAGGATAAACTCCAGGTGCCTGTGATTGGTATCCCAAACTACTTTAACCTTTTTCTTTGGAAGAAAGATATTATACTATTTTTTATCCTGAAATGCTCTATCCTGCTTCCAGAAAACTTTTTATTGCCATACAAATTCAAAACCTGCCAATAATTTCACAGCCAAAAGGATCTAAGCTGAGATCTCAGAAATGTAAGGTCGAATGGATTGGCTATCCCAAGAAGCCTTGTAAAGAAGAAATTACCAGTAGACTGAAACAATACATACCATCATTGCTTCCTCCTTACAACCATTATATCTCTTGTTGCAATGCCATTATAGCTGCTGTGTTTCTAACTAAATCACTAACAATAAAAATGTGCAGAATTCCTCTTGTTACAGAATTCCAGTCCATTTTTTAGTTTTACAAAATTTAATGTGTCAGAATGCAATTGCTTCAACTACCAGCACTTAGCTGGCCAGTTGTTTAGAACGCTCTTTTTTTTGTAATAAAAAAGGTCCTTTTAATGCTTTGTGTTGAGAACTTTCAAGAGGTTTAAAAATAGCTTTGCACCTACAGGAAATGTGTCCTGCAACACCGTATTACCAGTTCCTTTATTATACACTTCATTACACACGCATATCCACACTTTACAGAAATGCTGTTTGTATTTCTAACAAGAAGACAGTTGTAGAATGGTACAAGACACTGCATTGTAAATATTCTGTATGTATTTATTCTGGTTTCTTAAGGAAGCAAGGCCTATGATTGCACTCTACTGATCTGTATCCATCTCATCATTTGTACTAGATCATTCTCTCCCTTTCCCTGTCTGTGGTCTTAAAGATACCCAGTAGCCACAAAAGTAACAGGTGACAGACAAACCCAAGTTTGTGCCCTTCCTCCAAGGTAAAGAAAATGCCAGATTTTTTTCAGGCCCAGGAGGAAATAGCCAAACGCCCAGCATGCATGTATGTTGCTCCAGGTAAGCTGCAGCAAGCGCTACTGCATAGCCAAGCAGGCAGGGGTATGAAAGGGGCAATGAGGAACGTCAGAATAGGAAATCCCCACAAGAAGCAAAGTTTCCTCTGTTCCACTACTCTGGAACAAAACATTGTGTTGGTGTTTTTTTACCTGAAAAATATCTTTCAGTAAATAGGCATAAGAAAAGCTGTTGGGTCACATAAAAGAACCCAGAGTAGAGGGTTTGTTCTTATTTAATGTCTGTATTTATTGTCTGTATTCTTAGAGAGTCCCTATGGTTCCAGCTACTTTGTATATAACCCCCAGTGAAACAGTGGCTAGTACAGTATATATGGGAAAGAATACGGAAAGAAAACAAACACATAATAATATTTCCTCTGTATACCCATTTAATTTCCAGTAATTTGTAGATCATGGTCTTCTTGACTCAGAACTGGCACCCTTGCATCTAACAGCTGTGAGGGATATTTCTTATTCTTAATTTCACTGCTTTATTTCATTGCTTCTCTCCTACTGTAAGGTCAGCCTTGGCTTTTACCTTGTGCCTCTTTTCTGCACTTTAGTTTTTCTATTATTACAACTTCCCAGGAGAAGCTAACAGCAAAGTAATGTCTTCCTTTCCCTGCTGTTATTTTCTTGCCTAATAAGCTCTATTCCTTCATTTTTCACCTACCTTCCTTGCTGTCTTTGATTCCACTGTAATACCATCATGTCCCTCTAGACAGGACCTCATGGAATTTTTCAACGAAAAATATACAATGTGTGCTGTACATCCCCCACTACCTATATTCTCTAATATGGGTATCCTTCCCCTACATCTCTTCTTTCGGTGTTCCAGTCTGTTCTTTTTCCAGTGTTCCACCTCAGCTGTCTAAAAATCATGAATTAGACTCACAAGTCATAAATTTTACTCAAATCATTACTTTTAAGCAAGCTTAGCCAGGTCCTACATCCTGAAATTCTGTACTCAAATGTTTTAAGCATTATTCTACAATCATTAATGTAATGAATTGAAAGTGAAAAGAATGCCTTAAAGAAAGCTGAAAGTCTAAACTCACCCATAATGGTTGACAATATTGTGCCCCTTTTCTTGCTTCAGGCATTTCTCTTCTCACTTATCCTCATCAGACTTGTGTTTTTTCGAATTTTAAGTATCTGTCTTTTCCACCTTTGCTCTCTTGGAGTGCAAATAACAAGAGTTGAAGTAATCTTTCTGCCACCCTTTTGTTTGTTTTGATATAGAGAACGAACTGCTAATTGCTTAATGATTGTCTCTCTATAACTTTACATACCAAAGACTGGTGTTCGTCAAGGATTAAGCCTGTCAGAGACTGGTACTTGGGAGTGATGAGCAAGAAGGAACCATGAACAATCACAAAACTTAATTAAATGTTTGATGAATTTACGATCTTGTCCAGAAGGCACAAGTAGAGGCCTTGCTTGAATAGATAGGGCCAGAAAAGATAAGGACTCCTGCCTTTGTTCTCGTCCTTGTAGATAATTTAGCTTAAACTAACCATATGGTTTTACACCACTAATGAAAACTTAGGTAATAAGAGCACTAACAAGCACTGATGTATCAAAACATGTAAAAGACCATACTGCGCAGAATCACCTGAGGAGGGTCAAATAGCGGACAAGTGAGGAAGACTATGGAAGACCACCAGAGGACTCCTGAAGACCACCAGAGACCTTCAATGCACCTGCGTAAAGGACATTTGCATATGCTAATAGTTTCCCAGAAAACTAATGAATATGTATAACATTTCTCAGAAATCTAGTGAATATGTATGTAGAACATGTACTTAACCTGCACAATTAGACCCGACGGTGCGCACGATAGGTGGAGCGATCCCCCGTGCATCCAGCGCTGCCAATAAAGAATACCTACTTAACAGTTAATCAAACTATTGAGTCAATTTCTCTGAATCAGTTTATGTCCTTCAACTTGTAAACACTGCAGGGCAATGTAATCCTTCTTATTGTGTTAGAGGATAGAGCACACAGGGCTCCAAATCCCCAGGTGAACACTTGTGTCAAAAGGAGTATTTTCTTTAACTGAATCCTGGTGAATATATCCTCTCTTTTATATAATGAAATGTGGGGGCTGCAATTTTCAATTAAAGACGGAACTTCAATCTGGCAGCAGCGCTAGGAGAAATTTTCTCAACAGTGGTTCCTTGTGCTTTGATGCTTCCCAAAATCTCACATTCCCCATAACATTTTTACTAGATGCTGTTTGGGCTTGTAGTATCTGTAGCTTTAGCTGACAAAAAGATTAAGGGCAGAAATGTGTCACACAGCCTTTCACGCCTGCAAGCTCTGCAGGACTGACTGGGCTCTCGTCTTTCTTACTGAGTGAGAGAAGCAAGCCGGGCTCCTTCCAGGGGCTTGCTTCAGGGCCCTGCCACGCTCACCACCAAGGGCCTGGCCCCCCTGACCAACGTCGCCATTACGCAGGCCGAGAGACCATGCTGAGCAGGCACAGGCGATCAGAGGACGCTTCTCTAGGCCACTCGCAACCAGGCAGAGCCCAGTAGCTCTCCACCGCCACTCTCTAATCGGCAAGTCCGAGGCGGCACGAAGGGCTGTGGCTGGGGACACTGACAGCCTCGCCTCAGCTGCCGCCACGCGCAGCGGGAGAGCCCTGACGACCGCCCGGACGGGAAGGGGCGCCCGCTGCCGCGCAGGGCAACTACAACTCCCAGCCTGCCCCACGAGGCGCAGCCGCGGCGCCGTCGACTACATATCCCGGCATCCTACGGCGGCGTCTCGCTCTCGCGAGGCCCGGGAGCTCCCGGCGCCGCTCTCGCGAGAGCGGCGGGTCCGGAAGCTCCACGTCGGAGGGTCGGGCCGGAGCCTGCCCGGGGCGCAGGGATACCTCAGCCGTTGGCGCTGCCGCGGGGCGACGCGGGGCCATGGTGAGTTCGGGGGCCGCTGCGTGAGCGAGACCCGCCTGCCCGGGCAGCGCGGCGGGTCGGGGGTC